ATATATATATATATATATATATATACATTAGCACTCGCATTGGAGGATAGTGAGGTAACATGTCAAAAGTGAAAGGCATATTGGAATGTGAAATGTAATTGATCGGAATGAGCGAGATTTTATTACAAAGGAATGTATCAAAAGGCCCATTACAAGAGTATTTTGGAAATATTTTGGTCGAATGTGCCTAAGGGTCTTAGTGAATGAAAGCACTGTGACGTAATAATCGTATCCGACTGGAGTATAAATCTCCTTCGATATATCCAGAGGATCAGTTAAGCTATAGTTTATTTTCCTGTATTTTTTCTCTCCCATCCTTACTCAAGCGCAAGTTGTCTCGGTTACATAATGCGAGCCTTGCAATCGCATTTATAGGGACGTTAGTATAGCCAAACGGCCGGCACAAGATCTAAATTTCGTGAACTCACCCAAGCATAAAGTTTTACGCATACGCGGACTAACCGCGATGAAGTTCACTTGAGCTGAAGGAGCTGTTTTGAATTCCGTACCTATCCTGATGACGGAGACATAGATAAAATCCATTTTTGAGAACGGCTCTTATGTTCAAGTCAATTGTTCTGACTAGCGTGCCTATTTCGAGTGAAAATAAAAGTCTGACCAACTGAGATTCAGTGGAGTGGGTCTACCATATTCTTGTGAGTGGACTGGCTCTTCAAGGACAACTACCCAAAAGTTCACATAACTTATTGGAGTACTTATATAAATACTACCTTTGAAAATTTGAGCTCATTTGTGCGATAAGGTTTCTGAAAGTAAAGTCCTTATGGCGTCATCTATAGTCAATCATTCGCTTGTCGTCATTCGCTTAACCCCATAGTATTTATTTAGAACTCCTCCTTGTAGATTAATAGGTTGCCACGTGTTTCAGACTCACTAACTTGCCGAGCTGGTATCCTGTGAATTATCAGGCCGTCTAAGGTAAATGGCTTGACATGTAATGAGTATCCATGTTTACTGACTAATCGGGACCAGTCATACCATATCGAAAACCCACACTTTAACACGTAATGGAAGATAAGCAAATTATTACCAGCCTTCACTATCACTTGTTCCAACGAATCTTCGGAAGACAGCCTAATGTTGATATGTAGCAAGTTAACATGTGGATTGTTGGCCATCTTACTTACTATTATGTGTTTGCATCGACTTTTTTGCCTCAGTTTTAACACGCTTTCCCTTGACTTTGCGAGAAATTCTCAAGATATATTTGTACACCGTACGCGGCGCGAGGTTTTTCGTGATCATGTATCCATTTGGCTCCACATCTTGTATCATTTCCTCTTCTGATCCGGTTTGTAAGGTGCGTACTAACTGATATTTAATACGACACTCGTCCGGGTAGGTCGAAGACGTATTCCATTGTATCCTCTGTGCTGTGGATCCGTCTTCATTAGATACACTCATTGAAATCTTTGGAAGTGCTAAATGTGACAGAAAGAATATCAAACTTCCAATCTACTAGCAAACGTTCAGTAATAATACACTGCGAAATGAATGAGTACAATTAATTTGGTCAATTCCTGAGAGTCTCAGTGTAAAAGTGAGGTAGTTCGGTTAGCAGACAGAAAAGCAATCACTACAAATTTTGGTAAATATATAGATTTCAACGAAAAACTTACGTAACATCGAACCATTCTCAGCTGAATTTTCCCTTAGGATTGACTTCTCGGCTTGAAAGGATAGGACTGAACTGGTTTAGTTGTAGTGTGCAGTCTAAAACAGAGAACTTATTTCCTCACGATTGTTTGGATAAAATTTGAATTCAGTATGACTGAATTTTCCCTTTGCTTTGTTTTACCCTTTGAAGCAGCGGTGATTACCTACAATTCAAAGGCGCCCGTCATCAAAGGTGTTGTGACGCGTCGCTTCCCGAATCCCAATCTATTTAGATTAGGTATGTTTGTTTCAGAGAAGGATGCACCTCTGGAATTGTTAATCATAGAAGCGGGTTCCCTTGGATGGCTTACGGTGCGTATTTATCAATGATACACAATCTGTCCTATGTAAAACATTGAGCGGATTTTTATCTTTTGATAGGCGTTAGTGATTGGCGTTGTTTTTTTTTGGAATAATCGGACTAAGCCATAAATGTTGGTAAAGCAGACTGGCCATTAGGTCATTTGGGAGCCCGACACGTGGTGATGACAGTGGTCGCACCATGTAGCCTTAACAAGAATCTGGTGTGCTCAAGGAGTTCGCAGAAGTGACTTCCAATTAATTTTCCGAACGCCACACGGCTAGATAGTACTCGAACACCCAGGTTGTGTATCTGCTCATAAATGACAGGAAAATGCTTCCCATGAGACGTTTTGGTTGCGTGTCTTCAGCTCGTTTTCTGGGTCATCCTTTTGGGATTACTATCAGCATTTGAGTTTCGCTCGCATAATACGCTATTCAGCATTTTGCTGCGATAAGAGTTGCAGCTAATACGCCACTCCACACTTGAATTTTCGCTCTCCCGCAGTACGGGTTCTGGATAGCACCATGATTAAATAGTAAGGCTGTTGCATGGAAGCACAAACTTTGGGTTGAGGAGGGTCTGTCATTGGCCTTACACTCTGCTTCGGGAACTTGCCGGTTCCCATTATGATTTTTAACTTGCCTTCCTAGTTAATCTAAGAATGGTCATGTCTTTGTTAGTCGTATGGTTGTTTTTGACTGGCGCGGTAAAAAGATGCGGCATGGCGGCCACTAGCATTCCGTTGCAATAACATAGACATTGTTCAACAAAAAAATGAATATGCTACTGACTACCAGCATGCACAAGGAGGTTCGCTGCACATTCCTAAAACGTTTTCAACAGTTGTAAATTTATAGCATTTATATACCCGCTTTAATGGAGATCTCCTGCTACAATTTACCCAAGACAGAGTGCATTTTCGTACCAAATACTTCGGTGTAAACCCCGGCTGGTGAAAGAGTGCATAAATCAGTCCTTCCTAGTAATAAGCTTCCATTCCTTCACTCAGCTTTGCCTTCGTTGAACTCTGCGTTCTAAAAAAATGGCGACCCTATATATTGATTCTATGACTGCGACAGGAGCAGCTGATGTTTTGTCAGCTTTGTTTGTTCTCTTTTTTTCACGCTGACTGACGTCTTCTGGAACAAAACATTCGACATAGTAGATTTCAATCTGCTGCGTATTAACTAGGAAAATTACAGCCCAGCATCTTAGTTTAGCAATCCAGCTAGTCAGACTTTTTTCATGTCCGAGCCCTTTTCATTTCGTTTCCCAGATTATCAAAATTTTACAATTTGAAATCCATTCCGCAGTTTGATGGTTTTTTAGCTTCAACCACAACTTTAATAAAAATTAGGGAAAAAGATCGGAAGGTTGAAGCAATTTGGCTTGAAATGATCAACTAGAACTTGTGTTCCAGCGGCCTTAGTTTTTACGAAATTGTAGTTGAATCGGTGAAACAGCAACTACCCCGGTGGACAGTGAGGCGCCCACACGAACTGCACGGATGTATCAGGGATACGGTTTCCCAAGCGGACGTACATTCTACATCCACGAGGGGTTGATGCCTCATGGAAATTACTTAACAATGTAAGTAAAGCATAGAAAGCAACAAGTTAACCATCCCCACATTACTAATGAACTGATAGATATGATGATGGATGAACAGCCGCAAAAAAGCACCAAGTATCTTATTTTGGGAAAACGCAGTGATTATCAGGAAAATCTACACTCATATAAAGCTAGTTCCTTTGCTAGCATATTCTTATCAGACGTGACCCACAGATTCACTGATAATGCAACGTCTCCTGTCAGCTCTAAGTAGCTTTAAACATTGCCACTAAGTCCCCTGTCACATGACGTAATGTTTCATTGTTTTCATGCCAATTTTGTATGCTAAAACTTTTGTGCATTTTTTGATGATAGGAAGTCGAAGCAGATTTAAAAACGCACAATAAATGGCATGCTAATGATACCACAGTATTACTTTAAGGGGTGGGTTTCTTTGGTCAAAGAGACGCTCCTTTCTGCTCCAACTAATCGCACAGAACCTAGTGCCAACATCTTTTAGTTCGTAAAAAATTTAAAGAAAGGTTGTAGGTGAATATATTACAGGTTGTCGAATCGGCCAACAGGGATGTGAAGCCTCTTATTGTAGAATGCTTCATGCCCCACTTGAGTGTATCAAACACAGACGCAATTCACTGAGTGCACACCAATTTTACTTCAGAATGGAACGTGAACTTTTGTGCTTGTTTTCTGTTAGTGTGGCACCTATTTTGTCTAACTTGAGAAGTAGAATCAGCCGAGTTGAGTCAGTTACCTCCGTTGGTGTGTTACCGTTTCTGCGGTATAACCACATTCCAGAATCTCTTGCTCAGTTTTGCTGTACCCCTGTATATTTGATCGCAGTCAAGTTCAGTGATAATGTGGCATTTTGAACTGAGACAAACTTAACGGGGGTTCTAACTGAGTAATATGATGTGGTGCCACAAGGTAGTCTCACAGGAAAGGGAAAAGACCATGTAGCTTAACATTTTGTGGGACTAGAGAACAAATAAATGCGACATGCCATAATGACCAAACCGCTGGTTTGTCTTCAGTAAAATCTGAAATTTTGAGGTTTAACTTCGCTGAACAAAGTTGTGATCAAACAAACGCATATGTCGCCTGCCACTAATGATGTTATGAGCAAAGTTTCTAACGTAGCAAAATATACTAAATGGGACCTCTAGTTTTAAAGTAGTCTATAACCATGTTGAGATAAAAATCGAGAGATCGGTAAGCCCTAAGTATGCCTTGCACGAGAGGCTCCAAAACAGTTTCAGGTGGTATGCTGTTTAAGTAGTAATTTCTTGTGGTAAAAACCTCAGATAGCGTTGTATGATAGAGAACAATTTGGCGCGCCACAATTCAACGCGCTATCTGCTGTCACAAAATCAGAAGTGACGAGGTTGGGATATGATATTCNTTGACGCTCTGATAATTTTTCCTCACTTCCAATGATTATGGTTCTTGTTATACAACTTACCTTTTGGAAAGAGTGCACGCTACAGTCTGTGTTTGCCGTAAAAAACCCGGCTTGGGATGATCACATGTTAGCCAGATCTGTTAAGCTGGAGTTCCCAGTTCACTCTCCACAAGTTTAAGAAACTTTACCGTATGTGAATAATGGCATTCGAAATCAAAATTTACAGTAACACGCTAAACACTTACCAGTCTGAACGTGTGAATATGTCACTTGTCTTTTTTGTTTTCAGGAAGCTACAAACCTTCGTTACATCAATCCTTAGTAATCGACGTTACTTTCACATGTGGTGGTACCGTGATGAGATGAGCACATGTCCTGATCTTTGCTCTTCCGAAAACGCAAAAGACATGTTCGCAAGACAGCAAAGAGACATATAATTTCATTATGTATTCAGCATTACGACAAATTTTCTAGTTGCTCATCGTATGAAAAGACATTGAAATTTTTTGACTAGGATTTCAGTGAACTCAAACTAGAGTGAGGAGCCAAGAATCGCTGTACACTTGCCTAATCCCTATGGAAACGATTGGCATTGTGCATCCGCCAAACCATTGTGGCAGTTAGAACTCACTATCTTCGGGATAACACTTTAAGAGTGGGTGATCCTCAGTGTAATTAGCTCCTACTCATACCGGGCATAGACTTATTCGTCCTCCAATCACGAATTCCCATAGCGTGATCGAGTCCTGGTTGGCCCCTTATCCATTTGTGGTTTTTTCTTGAATGGTAAGTTACAAGCAATTCCTTTCTATCCATGTAAATGAATGGGAATCAACAACTAACCTCAAGATTCGGCATATCTTCGGGATAACACTTTAAGAGTGGGTGATCCTCAGTGTAATTAGCTCCTACTCATACCGGGCATAGACTTATTCGTCCTCCAATCACGAATTCCCATAGCGTGATCGAGTCCTGGTTGGCCCCTTATCCATTTGTGGTTTTTTCTTGAATGGTAAGTTACAAGCAATTCCTTTCTATCCATGTAAATGAATGGGAATCAACAACTAACCTCAAAGATTCGGCACTAGAAAGTCTTTCAGACAATCAACGTGGCGGAACACAAATGTGAAAACAACGGGTATCTAAATTTTAAATGTCCGTAATATGAAGTGGGAAAGGAATGCGATCCTTGGGTTGTGGATTAAACAAAGAAAAATTTATAAACTATTTTTTCGACCGGTCACATTTGTTTTCTTAATTGACCAGCATTGACTTGGAACTGGCTCTCAGAATTACAGTTCTCCATCCTGTATGTTCTTATAACCAGTTATTACGTGTTACTCTTTACTCCGCCGTTTTGTCACTCTTGCTTGCAGAACCGCTGAGAACACTGCCCTAGTACCACACATGCAATTACGGAATCAGGTCTCATTCCATCGCCACGTCACACGGCGAAGTCGGACTGTTGAGCATAAAACACTCCCTCTGAATATATATCAGAAAAGTGCCTCAAGCCAAAAACGCTTTTGGCCCTATATTGCGAGGTTGCTTTGTTTGGAACAACATGTCTCCTGAACTGCCTGTGGGGCTTTAACTCGTCTATTTCTCTTCTGGTATCCCTGAGCTTTATTTGAAAAATCATATCTAACAAACTTGGCAAAATAAGAAGCAACCCAATGCCATTCAAACAGACTATCGAAATTTGTAAAATGTTTGCCACTTTGAATCTCACTGATGTTATCTTTAGCTACTGAGGAAATGCTTTGAATATTATGTTATGGTAACTTTGTCCTATATGGGTTTGTACCAACTTACTTGTTGGGCAAACGTTGCCAGTATTAGTTCGACCTTCGAAGTCATCAGCTTCAGGCGTTTCATCCCCTTCATCGACTTTCGTTTCATTGGAAGAAACCGCACCTTAGAAGTTGAGAAAACACGTTTAGACAGGAGTGTACACTTTGTGAAAATATGCCACAGTTCTTACATAGTGACCTCTAACAGCACAGGTTTATGACGACCACTCTAGAATACTGAATACTATAGCATTTTGTAACTTGGTACCCTCTAGTCAAGTAAAGCCTGTTTCGTTTTACATTTTTACAAGTTAAAAAGTGAGGATTTTGCTGCATGTCACGACCAGGAAGCTAATTCATGGCAGAAATTTGCGACGATCAAGATTTTACCTTGTATAGGCACTATATGAGGAGGGGCTTTGCTTGTAAGGTTAAAAAAATCTAAACCCATTAGCAATGTGACTTGCCGATCATATTTTTACCCAGTTTTTGCACACATCAAGTATACTCAGAAGTGACGCACAAGAACCGCTAAAACTGAAGTTCCAGAGTATTTTTGATATTTGTGGTCTCCTCATCCCTCTATAATGATCAATATCCTATTACCTTTTAGTTAATTGAATAAAATGCATATTTTCATTCACTAGTGGGTTAAAGCAAGTTCAATCCTGGTTTTTATACAGCTGTAAAGACAGCTCGAATGACAGCCCAAAATACGCCAAAATTTCCCACGATCAAAGAATTTCAGGATGTTTTTTTTATTCTGTGTATAAGTGAAATATGCCATCTCACATTTAATCTGACAAAAATCTTGGTAAGAATAGAGAGCTTCTAAGTTTCTTGGTTGGTTTCCAGAGAAATCTCGTCAGGTGATAATGACCAATGGGCTACGGCATATTGGTAAGAATAGAGAGCTTCTAAGTTTCTTGGTTGGTTTCCAGAGAAATCTCGTCAGGTGATAATGACCAATGGGCTTACGGCATATTATACTGAAAGTGTCTTTTAATGGCAGGCGGATTAGGTTTTATCATGATTGTACACTTCGTACATTATGTGTATATTTCGGATGTGAGAACCAAACGTTGAGTGAAACCGTTCATAAACTGAAATCTGCACATAATTTCGCACAAAGTGTGGTTACAATAAACTGGTTACCGGTGAAATTCATCACGACGCAACAGCTTACGTGAACACAACCCATGAAAATGTGCGAAGCAAAATGGCTGTTATGTTTAGACACTCACTGCAAAGCATCAAGATGATGGTGACACTCCACACAACCATTCTGAACCACTGTGCAACGGTACTTGTTGCGGTGGTTCCCATCGGTTTATCAACCGTACAAATATAGATGCACCAAGTTTCTTTGCTTTGTTATTGGTTAAGAATGGAATTTATGGGTAATGGTTCTTTATTCAGTTTGTGCGCATAGCTGTTAGAAAAACAATAAGCTGAAAGGACAGATCTATGGACACATAAACTGACGTCATCACACATTCTTCGGGGCCATTTAAGTGCAACCAGAGAGTCTAGTGGTTGTGCTGTGGTTCACACCTTTTGAAAGTAGAAAAGGGCATTAAAGTTGCATTCATCTAGCTGTAAATTAGGTGGGAATTTGAATACTTCTGAACTTGCAAATGAAAAAACATGCGAAAGGAAGGAGAAATCGAGTGCGCAACATCCCACTGGATGAATATATATGTAGTTGGGTGTTTACTTAGAACTCATTCTCTTGTAAATCATTTCGGACTCCTGCCCTTTATTTTTCTTGGTGATATTCGTTAATCTTCACTCACTGTACTACTCGCATAAAGCGCTCAATCTTGCACTGAAAGTTGGTTATTAGTACAGTCGGTGAATCAAATTAAAGCACACGATCTGAATCCGCATGACTACATGTGACAGTACAAGCAGTAATTTTTGAGTTCATTTACCGCATTTTATCTTCTATTTTTCATCTCACTATGTTTTCCTGGTTCAATTTTCCGCACAACTAGGCAGTTTTTGGGCTCTGAAGACAACTCAGAGTTTGCGCGTGTTGGTTGGCCAGTCAGGAACACCCAATATCAGGATGTCTTACCGATCCCCATTCCCATTTTGGCCTCAGAAATCAATCTAATTTCTAAACTACTACTGTTGAATCTTCATATGGTCCATCAAACTTCACTATTCCTCGGGATTTCATCAGCCCATTCCGCTGCATTTGCATTCCGTTCTGCAAATGGCACCTCCTCTATATCGAACAAGGTAATGAATTATACGTGCTCATAATTAAACTGGGGATGGAGCCAGCATCAACGTATCCAGGCCTCTTTCCTTTGACTGTCAAACAGATTTGTACATGTTACGGTAGGTCTGATACGGTCCCGCAAACAAAACATTTGATGGATTTATCCGCCACTTTAACTATTCGACTAATAATTCGATCATTTCGACTTGGTATAGTTGACATATAGATTAGTTCACTATTGGTGGATACAAATTAAATCCTTGATAGCCTATTACTCATCTCCTCGGCCCGGTCTGAGTAAACAGAGTTTTACTCCCTTCCTTCAAAAGTCTCTGCAAATTCATCCCAGTTTTTTAGCATATGGTTGACAAAGATATCTGGACATGTCTTTGTTTTGCTAAGTAAAATCTGACGCTTCTTTTTTTGAAAATAAAGCAATGTAGAGGAGACCCGGTGGCGTACGTCGGAACCCTACGCCACGAGCACAAACGAATTAGTCGAAAGGGCCTCATTCTGTATAATCCCAAATATTTGGTTTTTGTTTATCGTCTTTATTCTTCTTATATTACAAGATGTTAACTTGGTGCAACAAGATATCACGCCTGAAGCTTCGGCTTTTCAGGATCACAGTGACGAGTACCGTTCAGTGTTAGTCCGAACTTACGCCACTTTGGGAAAACCAGTTCTTAACACACTAGGCCATAAACCCCGAAATGCTTGAACCGTGCTTTAATGTTTGAGGAATTTAGTCCGGTTATGGACTGTGTCTGTAGGAGTTTTTATAACTGCTCATAAGGGGTCATACTACAGTCTAAAGGAACGGTTCTATATTTTGAAGCCCCAAAGTAAAACCCATAATTACACCACTTAAGATACACGAGTAATCGGCAGTTGAAATCAATTACCATGATTTCACAGCATCAGATTTGAATGCCATATCTTTTTCAACCCAGGCCACTGCATCAAACAACTGCTTTGATTGTTCGAAATGCCACTGGACACCCGTTCTCTTGGAGGAAATTAGATGATCATTTGTTTTCTTCTACTTCCATAAAGGATGTTTTACATTTTGCATTTGAAAAAAATAAGTGAGTCGAATGTTGACCAGATTAAAAAAATGAATTTGTCGAACCTCAAATTTAACTCTTTTCCTATGTGATGACATAGTTCCCTCACCGTACGCTGGCAGTGATTCAGATAAAATATTATCTCTTATTGTTAACAAACTCCTGCCACTGTATTCCGGACATCACAAACATGCTATCCGGGGGTTCTTCAGGGAAAGCCTTGGGCCAGCGCTAATAGATAATTTGTTTACATTTTAAACTTGACGTTAAACCAACTTTTCATCTGAAAATAAACCAACAATGACTTCACAAGTAAAGTTTGATGGATTAGACGACGCAAACATTAAACACTCCGTGAATTATTCGAATTGAGGCGCTAGATATTTGTTGCAAAATAGACAGCTCAGTCCAGAAAGAAGGTGATTTTCTAGCAGATTTCAATGGCTTTCTATAAATTCTATAATACGCGCCCCCAGTGCCTGATTGCTTATGGGTAAGCTCACTTTCTTCCGAGCTTATTTTTAACTTGGATTTACAACTCCTCTCGCGGTGTCGATCATGGACACTTACCGAGTTTTGGACCTAACTAATCAACTTTTTTTCCATTGTTAAATTGGCGCAGGTAATATTACAGTGAAACATGGACATAATTTTATCGGATCTCTTTTTTGTGACTCACTTCAACAACTACGATTTGTGAGAGTTCCAGTAGTTGATCTGTGTGAACAGTGTATGCATTATATGAGCCGTCCAATAACCTCTCACAGCCACTGCAAAGAAGCCAAGTTACTCCATCCTATGAAGGCGATTCGTTGGTATACTAAACCGTCGCTTGATTCAAACTCTGCAATTCACTGTTCCTGCTGCAACTATGAAACCTTGGTTTACATACAACTCTTTTCCCAGCTTGAGCCTCAAGTAAAGGATGTTAGTTCTAACCCAAAGTATTTTTGTGTATCTTTTCTCATGCTGTTGTTCAGCGGCATATTTCTGGCGCACGACAAGACACTTGCCAACAGAATACGTGAGTATGCCTCTTAAGGGAACAACACGGGACACAATGGTTCAACCAAAGGCTTGATCGGTTTGAACATAACGAGACCACTTCAAACGACTGCCGTCGCCAATTCAAGGGCGCTGTTTTGCTACGGCTGAACCAGTCGCAATACATTTGTAAAACCCAAGACAATGCTGTCATGAGTGATTTGTTTGCGTTCTAAGTCTACCTTAGTCACAGGAAACGCACTTATCGCCCCATTTGCTCGACGATCCCCTGGGCCTCCGCACGTCACCTTATTGGATGCGGCTTTGGTTCCACTAACAAGAAACAGTCCTGTTTATATGGTTTTTAATTTAGTAACTAAGTTTATTTGTTTGTTACATCATTTACTCCTATTCTTACTAAAAGATGTGTACTGACCTGAAGACGTGATTTCGTAAACCTTAGTACTGGCATTAAGTTCTCGGTCAAACTACTGGAATATTCACAAATACTTCGGATTCAGAATGTCACCAAAAAGCCGCTTTAAAAACGTACAGTGTTCGATATTTTAGATTATGGCATGCTACTCAGTTAGAGGTCTTTGTCCACCAATTAGTCACTATTGGAAACATTCTTAGACTTGGTAAATTAACATTTTGTTCCCCAATTTCAGTGTACTTACGCTCTTTTGCATCGTGCTATAGAATGGAAAGGGAGAGTAGCTGGCTAAAAGTGTCAGACAGTCTTGTATATGAAAACTACACATTCAAACTTCCAAATAGTAGCAACCAGTGGGAACTTGATTCGTGTAGATTTCGTTCGTAATGGCGGAGAGGAGATGTTACTACTACCGGATAATCGACAGATAAATTGCTGCCACTTAGTTTCCTTCACGTTTCATCGCAAAGCACCTTCAACTTAACTTGACTTAGCTTGCTTTATATTTGTAGCTCCCATACTCCCTCTTGCATGGAAATGTTTGTCATCTATACAACCGGCACAACCTCTAAGGTAACGAGAGGCATTAAGAATCTCCTGAAACTTCTGCACTCAGTTAACGACATACGGTAGGGTATAAAGCATTCAGCCACTTCAAGTTTCTCCATTTGAAACCGAAAAAGTGCTGGTGCATTAACGAGATATTCCTGCATAGACTTCTGGAACCTGTCCCAAATTACATCAATATGGTGTACCCATCAGGTATAATCTTGATATGTTCAATTTTCTATACCCAACTTAAGCCAAATGGCCCATCAGTCTGTTAGAACAAGGAAGGATAAAAGAGCCAGCAAAAAGTCTCAAAGACACTTTTTCGCTCGTCAGCAATTTTAAGGACCAACAGGCTAATGATCATTGCATGTTTTTTTCCTGATGCCATGTCGTTATTTACTAACGCACCTCACGCTAAGGCAATGAACCACGCATGTGACTTGTTAGAGCGTGTTAGAGAGTGTTAGAGTGTTGTTAGAGAGTGGAGGACACACTGTCGTTCCTTGTATGCATCTGAGAGATCCATTGTTACTTGGATCATACGTCGTACAGTTCAGTTTCAGTAATGAAATCTATTCACAAGCAGCCTATTGTCCTTGATGTTTTTAATCGTAATGTCAGTTTACGTGCGCGAAATTTTTACAGAACTTACAACATTCAGTACGTCGCCCAGGTGTGTGGCCAAGCAGTGTTTTGTCCATCAACAGCTGGGAGATCGCAGAGGTGGTCCTAAAGCCAAATGGAAAGCTATTGCATTCGTATTGGCTTCTGTGTATTTTGGTGACCAATAGGAATCAAGGTTGGTCAGATCGGTTTGAGCAAAAACAACTGCCGATATTCACAATGGTGAACAAGTCATGGAGCACCGACAGTGTTCGACAATGCAGCACTCCGGATTGACCCATTTTGTCTCTTCACCCCGACGATTGAGGCCACACACGTGAAATGCAATACAGGAAAAAGGATGGCTTGTTTTTGGAGAATCTGGAGTTTGGCCTTGACCTATGACAGGAGCGTAGTGGAAAATATATAGGAGCAAAATACTTAGGTAGAATCCGGTCAAAGTAGGATAGAACATTAGGCAGAACAGTGGCCGGGCCAGGTTGGAATATCTTGGCGAAGCGCCAACTAACATCGTCCAGCTGATGTGGGGCTGCAACAGGCAGACTAACTAGGAAGTTTGACGGAGGTTACGTAAGACGACCAAGTTAACGTCATCCTCATAAATGAGACGCATCACGGACATTTGACACAAACCTGAAGTTCATAACCACAGGCGTGGATGGCAGTTCTGGAAGATCGGCTTCCGCAAGTCGTCCAAGTCTGTGCCAAAACTTCTCCAATGTAGTAGCAATGTCCGATGCGGTGTACTATTGCGGGTGGACCGGAAGGTTAGTAACAAAAAGTGTGGAAAAAATACCGTTAAAACGAGGTACTAACTTAAACTTTTGCCAATAGACTCGGTCCGGAGCCTGCCGGTTCGAAATTTGGGATATGAGTTTGATGCTTGGAGGCGTCGACGGTTGCGCCATATGAACATGACACACAGCGTTTGCTATTGTGACGTACGGTCTTGTACTGTCGATACAGGCGCTACTTTCGGGGGCAAAACCTGACGGAATGTCAAGCACCGTAGTGCTTGGACGAGAATTAGAGATCCTGATTTCAGACTTTCGGTTGCCTGGAATAATGTATGTTAGAACGCGACAAACAAGAATAGACGGAATAAAGGTTTTTGAAACCTGGTAAAACAATATGAGCTTAAAAACATTCCTAAATTCCAGATTGGATCAAATGTTCGTCATGCTTTATGTTGGTGAACCAATGGCAATGGCTTCGGGTGTGGGAAAAGGGTCTTGATCAAAACAGTTGAGCAGACGCATCCGGATATCTGAAAAATTGACAGAATATCGACCGGCGTAAGACCGGATAAAGTACTAGCAACGGATACGCATATCACAAGCGTATGCATTTCTACCAGCCTAGACTGTTACGCGCAACGCGCCCCTACTTTCGCGGGATTCAACATAAGTCAAACTACAAGAACCTCGTTGCCAAAATGTTAACGTGCGACGTGAAAGTGCGGCCAAATATTTCTTGTTATGATGAAAGCTTCAACAATTACTCAGGAATTGAGGGTTTACTTCTCTAAATCAACGTAAAAAACATTTACAGAAACACTGAGCACGTTTTGTAGCATCGATTGTAAATTTAAACGATCTTGAAGAGTGGTGAAGGCGTCAGCACCCACAAAGTGCAAATGGCCGGTCTCCTTGGTGAGATGTTTAACATGATTGAGGTAAGGCCGATCTCTAGGAGTAGATCCAAAGCAGCCCTAAAACTATTGTTTAAAAAAACAGCTTTACACAGAGATCTCGCCTTTGATGGTATTTATTTGAAACTATAAAATCCCTTCAAATAGTGGCAGTTCTTTTTAAGATTTGTTTAGGCAAAATCAAGATCTACTTAAGACATGGATTCCTTGTTTTCAATGATCAACATGTCTGTGTAATTTCTCATTAAAGATGGCAGGGTTTTTCTGGAGAAGTTGGCTGTTCCGTCTGGTTCCTCCTTTATTGGATTTGGAAATATTTTGAAGAGTGCATGAACAATAATTGTTTTACCCCTCTGCGCAAATTCAAAGTTGAGCAGCATTTACGATTTATGCGGCAAACGTTGCCTGTTTTCGTTGCAGACGTCTCGCAGAATAAAGCCAAGTGATTTTCCACAGCAAACAAGCTTGTTGAATCTTTCAGTTTTAGCTCACGGTGTATTTGATGCACGGCAAGCTTTTGTCTACATCAGTATACTGAATCCTTGGTGGTGATATGGGAAGGATTAGTAGGTTTGTGGGCAATACTTTGGAGTTCTGGCACAAATTTAGCAGACTAAGGCAGTCTTGAAGACGCATGTAAGACGCTCTGACGGAAAATGGTAGAGGTACGATGAACCAGGGACAAGCCATTAGACTAAGTATGACAGACACGGTACCGTCACCGCAACGTCGTACTTTTGTCCGCGAAAAACCCCGTAGATAAATATCTTGGATAAGTCAGTTAAGGTTATCAGGGTAGTCGGGATTGGCATGGGGATCGTGATATATTACGACCAGTATGTAACAAAGACCTTATTTGGCACATCGAGTAAGTAGGGTGGTTTATTGCTACCGTTTGAGGGAGGCAATAAAACAGCTGGGTCTAGTCTTGGGACTCAAAATTAGAAAGTGAAATAAAGGTCTGCTGGAGAGCAGTAGAATTGAAATTCTCCTGCTTTTCGAAATAGAAAGAAGCTAGAATGTTCAGAATTTCCAACTAATGTAATAAAGTGACACTGCCAATTATTCAAAACTAATCGATATTTAGGTGGAGATAGTATAAAATAGCTGTATGCGTTTATGCAAACGTGCGTGACCAAGTGCGAATATGAAGAATTTACATTGGCTAAATGGCGCACAACTAATTTTATAGCTGTTTGTGTAGTCGTCCATGAAGCTTGGTAGGAAGGACAGGAGTGTAAACAGACGGCGTCAAGAATTGTGATCAAAGTGTACGTGTCTTCGAATCTAGCTCACATAAAAGGGCGTGGTTAGAAGCCAAGCATTCTTGGAGGTGGGATTATTATATACTGGGACGCGCTTGAGCAAAAATGTGGATTAGAAAGCCACCACAAACAGCTTTTTAAAAGATTCATTAACCTTAATTCAGGACATATAAGGGAACTAAAGATGAAGACAAGTTTCGTGCCAGGGGTTTCGATAAAAACTGACATACCTACTGGGGAGGTAGACGCCTTTATGTTATTACGTGCTGTGTAAAACGAAGTGCTATTGTCACGTTGCACGTAAATTGCGAATCTAGTTTGACTCACGCATGAGAAGTATTTCTTACTCTTCTATAATTGGTGTTTTGAATTCACAGGATGATTTCCTGGTATAAATTCTACTACCGGGAAAAATATTGGCCAGCGGCACAGGAATTCGTAGAAAGCTTCTCTTTTTTATTATTCTGTATATACTGTTAAAATTGACGAGCCATTCGCTCTAACTACGAGGATGACAAATTTGCCCGCGGTGTGTTTCGGCGCTATGAGAAGTTGAGAGGAGACGTGGCGATACAACAATAGGGTTCACTGATCATGTGTTTACGGTCGCTTGAGGTAAATCTATCACTGTGGATAGTGCAAAGAATAGACGGGAAATACAAAAACCTATGGTGGAAGTTAGAGTATGAGCTTAAGCATAGAGTTAGTATGGACTTTGGGAAGAAAGCTTGCAGTTAAAATGATCGTTGTCAACCGTGTAATTTTTAGCGGTCGTGAGATACACAGAGGGATTGGGACAAGAAAATTTGGTAGATGTCTACAGCTGGATAGCGGACAAAAAGGTCTATTGTGTAGGACATATGTAGACAGACAAGCAGTGTGCTCTGAGGCGATAAATTATGGGGAATGATGACTTACTGATGGCGTAGAGGGAAAACACGGGAATGGTGGCATTGTGTAGGGTTAAAGGACACTTGTTCCTGGAGCAATGAGATAGAGTGAACCTCGTAATTTTTAGTCAGAGCAACATCATCAAAGACGGTTAGATTGCATCGGTATTGACCATCTTATTCGTCTGTGTACTGTGGTAGTCTGGACATGAGTATCGAAGTGATGGTAGGCGGCAATACGTCAGTATGAACGATGAGATTAAGGAGGCCAAAAACCATATAATATATACAGAAAATGGCCTAAGGGTAGTCTAAAATAGCGAGTAACTTCAGAACGCTAGAAGTTTTCGAGATGTGTAAATCTTTTTGTTTATAATTAAATGCTGAAGATTACGAAGCACTTGGTTACAAACGCAAGAACGGATCCCCGACTTGGTGATAGCGCTACTGCATAATTGGTCAGTCGTGAGGATACCAAAGAGACGACAACAACAAGCGGAGTGTCTTTGGCTATCATGCATAGCAGAGGCCTCATAACCATCTAGGTATGAGTCTAATAGTTGTGAAAAATGGCAAAGCCCAAAGACAACGCATGCGGTTACCATGACGAACTGCAGTGAATGGCCTCAGTATACGGCAGTGTCTCTACGCTTTTGAAAGTATGGTGATCCTTCTGACCATTGTACATTAGCACTTTCTTCGTAACATATCACTACTCAAATTGTACCACTTTCTATCTCTCACTAAATCTCAGCTTAATCCTCTTCTCTTCATACCGAATAACTTTTGCTTAAATGAAAGCAAAGAAATATGGATGCATACACACAATACAAATTCTGTACTTCATGAAAGGCGTGTTCCGTTCTTGCTGTGTCGAGTTACGTTGTCAGTGAGTTAACGAGCGGTGGTCTACCTTTCAGACTACGACGGGATAGAAAGTATCTAGGAATATATTAAGGAAGATTCCAAGAAGGAGATCGATTCGGATTTATTGTGGTGGTACCAACGAACGAACTGTGAGTTTTATCATCTCGCCTATTTTTTACTCACCTGATTTGACTACTTTGAACTGGTATTTGCTAGCGTTATCCACCACATAATTGGTGAGCCCGACGTGACTCGAAAATGCAACCATCTGATGGCGAGCCCGAATTTTATTTCTCTTCCTTAGATCACCTAGAACTCCCATATCCATTTTTTATCATTACTATCATGTCTGATTCAAACGATTCACCTATGGATCGCAAGGATATTTTGAGTTTAAGACTACCAGCTTACGGTATTCATCATCCCAGACTGTGGTTTGCTCAGGCAGAGGCAGTTTTTGAGTGCCGTCGCGTTAGATCACAACAAACCAAGTATAGTTGCGTTGTTGCACCTCCTCCACCTGAAGTTGCCGTCGAAATTGCTGACATAATCTACGAAAAACCCGATGCAAACCCATACGATATACTAAAAGGTGCTTTGATTAAGAGAACAGTAGCCACCGATGAACAGAACCTTCGTGTTTTACTTGCCGGCGTGGAACTAGGTGATCGTACCCCCGCTCAACTACTCCGACATATGACACAGCTACAAGGGAAGCAGGCGGTAAATGAGAGCATCCTCAAGGAGTTGTGGTTGCAAAACCTCACATCAACCTACTGCGCAGCGCAACAGTCATGTGAAATAGAGCCGTGCGACTATGCCCCCACGTATGAATTACGTCCGATTGCATCATGTGCCGGAGACAGGTCAAATACAGACACAGAAAGTTCACACCCACTCCATGACCAAGGTACCCCGTACACAAGCGCACAGACGGCCATCTGTGATCAACCGAGAACCAGTGTGGATATGTGGGAGGCACACTGGTTGGCTGACATCGGATCGACCATCAAATACGGTGACAAGTGAACCATATATATAAAAGCTTGTAATTGCGTTAATACACAGTTCCTTCAGGTCATCTTCTTGTCTTGTGACTATGACCCAGTAGCCTCAGGGCAGGTGAAGAAATACAACAGTGGCGATGGGTTATCTTCATTTCGAAACTCAATCATGGCAGTCAATTTCGAACAAATGCAAGCTCTGCTGCAACAGCAACAGGCGCAGTTTGAAAAATCGCAAGCACAGTTTGAAAAGTATCAAGCAAAGTTCATCGAGACATTGTCCAAATTTTTTTAAAGCAGGCAATCGCAATATCAGCAGCACCAGACGATGTTCATTCACCTATAACCCTGACGCAGCAGATCAATCAAGACCCAGGCAATCAACGCAACGGTAGTCAAAACGATGGTCAGAATGATTCAGACGGCAGTCAATACAGACCAAGCAAGACTGTGGAAGCCGTGCTGGCTGACAATGATGCAGATGAATACGAGGAATATTACTCGTACGAAGAAGACCACGTTGGAGCCCACCAGGAGTCTTCAGGCAAGCTAGACAAGTTGGATGTTGACGCCAAAGATTTGCCTTCGCCAGCAGAAACACAAAACAGTGACAGGTTTTCCGTTGAAGGGCCAATCAACCCGCAGAATGTGGATGAACCTTGTCAAATGACGGCAGAGTCACTTCCAAAATGTCTAGAACAACCATGGCCGAAAAGCTAGAAACCATGGGAAAGAATTCACTTGGATTATGCAGGTCCAACCAATCACTTGATTTAGCTACTTTGAACCAGTATTTGATAGCGTTGTCCACTACAAAAGCACTCATACTAAGGGTTATCATTGTTTTCAATTAGAAAGCTATCTCTGTGTTCGTATTTCACATGCAGTTTTCTGAAAACGTTGAATTTTTTATTCCTTACTCATGAGACTGGGAGTCATCCAAAAAGGCTCATCCTTACATGCATCAAGTTTCATTCGATTATTACAGTGACCGCAAGTAAGCTTCACATGGAAGAGTCTTGTACCGAGGCTACACAAACCTAACTAATTTGTAACATCTTGCGGGAATAATGTGTACCAACGTTATTCAACTAGGTAGGCATCATTAGTATTGGGGATTATATTTCAAAAAGCCTTAAACCTTACGCAAAGACAGAGAGCGACTGGAACAAACACTTAAAAACGCTGTTGCAGTGTATATAAACCAAATGAATGTTCCATTTATCATTAAAATCCTACGGAGCCTTTCATGAACTCCTCACAGGTCACAAAATGAAAAACCGAAAAGTTGTGATAATAGTGATATTCTTTTTCACATGCTTCCCCCCATTCAAAGAACACGTCCAGATCCTAAAATATGTTTAGACTCAGCAGCACCAGACGATGTTCATTCACCTATAACCCTGACGCAGCAGATCAATCAAGACCCAGGCAATCAACGCAACGGTAGTCAAAACGATGGTCAGAATGATTCAGACGGCAGTCAATACAGACCAAGCAAGACTGTGGAAGCCGTGCTGGCTGACAATGATGCAGATGAATACGAGGAATATTACTCGTACGAAGAAGACCACGTTGGAGCCCACCAGGAGTCTTCAGGCAAGCTAGACAAGTTGGATGTTGACGCCAAAGATTTGCCTTCGCCAGCAGAAACACAAAACAGTGACAGGTTTTCCTTTGAAGGGCCAATCAACCCGCAGAATGTGGATGAACCTTGTCAAATGACGGCAGAGTCACTTCCAAAATGTCTAGAACAACCATGGCCGAAAAGCTAGAAACCATGGGAAAGAATTCACTTGGATTATGCAGGTCGAACCAATCACTTGATTTAGCTACTTTGAACCAGTATTTGATAGCGTTGTCCACTACAAAAGCACTCATACTAAGGGTTATCATTGTTTTCAATTAGAAAGCTATCTCTGTGTTCGTATTTCACATGCAGTTTTCTGAAAACGTTGAATTTTTTATTCCTTACTCATGAGACTGGGAGTCATCCAAAAAGGCTCATCCTTGCATGCATCAAGTTTCATTCGATTATTACAGTGACCGCAAGTAAGCTTCACATGGAAGAATCTTGTACCGAGGCTACACAAACCTAACTAATTTGTAACATCTGACGGGAATAATGTGTACCAACGTTATTCAACTAGGTAGGCATCATTAGTATTGGGGATTATATTTCAAAAAGCCTTAAACCTTACGCAAAGACAGAGAGCGACTGGAACAAACACTTAAAAACGCTGTTGCAGTGTATATAAACCAAATGAATGTTCGATTTTTCATTAAAATCCTACGGAGCCTTTCATGAACTCCTCACAGGTCACAAAATGAAAAACCGAAAAGTTGTGATAATAGTGATATTCTTTTTCACATGCTTCCCCCCATTCAAAGAACACGTCCAGATCCTAAAATATGTTTAGACCCGGTTTCGTGCTTCATCTCGTAAACTGGTGATCTCGTGCGAATCAGCGGCCAATGTTGACCTTAATAGTTTGCTCACTTAAACAAAATCCATCGGAAGTCTACACTGAAATGCGCAACCAGATTGGACAAACTCTGATTACCATCTTCACCTCCACTTTTTAGTGAGCGACGATTTACATTTTTATGTTATGTGTGGGATCGGCTGGTGATTGTTAGGCGCACTATGCCCTAGCTACAAAATTTTGCGGGTGGAATAAAAGGTTTTACGCCGGAGTGCAGCATTTGCCAGCGGCTAGACGCACAATGTATTTTTCTGCAAAACCCCTGCAGCCGAAATAAAAACTTTAACGTCAAAATGTTGCACTTTTTTGCA